AAATGATTAAAAAAAAACACTTGGTTCAATACTTTATATTCATCCTGTATAAAACGAATTTAAAAAGGAAACACTCAGCAGAATACTAATTTTTTGAGTTCGGCTTATAAATTTCTCTTTAAAATATTTTGTAATCGGATCATTTTTCTTAAACTTTCTAATTTTTAACTTGAACTGAAATTTTTAATCGAAAATTTGTGATTTGAAGAAAATATGTACAAATATGCAATATTTCCTAAAATACGCATTTTTTTATTTGGTTTACATTAATCAAAAAACATTAGATATACATAGAAAACTTACAATTTTGTTGATAACAAATATGCATTTTGCATATAATCCGAGCCTTAATTATTACTAAAAGATCGCTGAAATTAGGAAAATTTGGGGATTGCAACTGCATTACGGTTCTGCGAGTACATATCCGATTTTATCAGAAAAATAAACTTTCTCAAAACCGAGTGTTATAGAATTATCAAAAAATAAAATAAAATAAACAAAATCAAGATTATACAAGTTGAAACTTCGCTTTGTCGACAGGACCTTGCACCTCCAATTGTTTGAAAAACTTGTGATAAGTATTAGTACAGTTTTCTCTCTTAAAACAATTATTATCAAATTAAACAATCTTTTTTACAAGCTATGACTGTTACGCATTACTATAATTTTCTATGTTCAAATAATTTTTTAAAGTAAAATATTTACCGGATCCATTTCGAAGTATGCCAGTTCCCCTCCTGACAGTGCAATAACAACCTGTCTTTGGTTAATTGCACATTTAACTATGGTTTTCTTCCCCGGAGCTTTCCATTCATTTACACGTTTATCAGAACAAATATGTCGAATACCGCCTGGATACACCTAGAAGGTAAAAAGTAACAATTTACATTTCATTAAAAGAAGCCCCCTGTAGACAAGGTAATTACCTGAACTAAAGCATCGTCACTGAGAGCTGAACAAGACAAAGTTGGTGTCGTACCCAAAAACCCACTGTCTGTAACTTCCTCCACAGTTTCACCAATAGACAATACCAAAGTTGCGTTAACGAAAGACACAATAATATAAGCATCATATTCATCTGAAACAAATAAACCCCAAATGATAGTATTTAAAACAAAGAGCTTAGATAATACTAAGTTGTCATAAGAAAACTCAGTTATTAACTATAATCACAATGATTCAGTTGAAACACGGACAAAAAATATCATCACTGTTTCGTTTTAGTTTCCCGTTTTTTTTTCTTTCTTCCAACTCACCTTATTCCTGAAGAACGACAAGCAAACCAACCGCCATCTGAAATAAAAAGCAACTGGTGTTGAAAATCGTTCAACCACCAGGCTTTATTAGAAATTCATTCACAATGAATTTCATTAAAAAAAAAATTAAACAAAAAAGACTTACCGTCACTTCTCCTCTTAACAGTCCAGACGGCATTAGGACTGCCAGGAAGCTCAGACACAGCCATCTCGGACACTTCAAGACCATGCCGTAGAACCCTTAACGAAGACCTCGGACCTCTTCCACAAAGCATGTACAATTGAGGAGTGTCTTCACCTGCCAAATCGGCAACACGACAAGATAGAATAGGTGACAGCGACTCCATTTCGTCGACCAAAACCAAGTTACGAAGAGAACGAGGCGCGAAGAAGAAAGTGTCACCTTCTTCCAGAGGCATAGCGGAACTGAACTCTAATTCATCGTCGTCATCACCAAGATGGGCGATCTGATACAGGTAGCTGTAAAAAGTAAACTACTAAATGATTTTGCACACGGAATGACTTTATTTGATGAGTCTCCTTGAAATAAATTAAATTAAAAAGAGAAAACATTTCCTATTACATGTTATAATTATAGATATAACTTTCTTGACAACTTAAACTACAAAAGACTTAAAAGTAGACTTTTACTTATGTCATTTAAACACAAAAGTGTTACTTTTTTGACGTTTATGGAAAATGTATCTTCTTGATTCACTCCATAACACCACAGAAATGCGACGGAGGCGACAAGAAGAAGTTTATCTTGCACAGAACGAAAACAGACAACCCACTGAATAGATGCCTGAACAGATCCATGCGTGTTTTTTATTTTACTCATGTAAAAACAATGATTGGAGCTCTATATTTTAAAATCTGGAAAATTTATCTTCTAAAGTTTTAGGTGCAAAAAAAGATCTTAAAAAAATAGGTCAAAATCATAGAGAAAAAAATGTTTTTTATTTAATATCTTTAATTTATAATATCTCAGATAATAATATATGTTTAATAAAAAATCAAATTCAGTATGCCCCCAGATTGAATTTGCAAAATGAAAACAAATGTATCAATGACTTTACACCAAAATTTCAAAAAAATCACATTTTTTGCTTAACCTGAAACGAACAAATCTGTAATTCATTATTCTGACTCAATGTTAAGAAAAAACATTAATTTTTCTATTGACGTAATAATTTTTGTTATTTAACTTGCGTAAACTTTTTTGCTTTCTCCAAAATCAAGAGAAAAATGAACTTTCACTGAGTCAGAATCATAATAAAGTTTTAATTACAAATTTGCAAGTTTCATAAAGCAAAATCATAATTTTCCTCCTAAAAACTCAATCCGGGTAAAGTTCCGGTATTAGAAATAAAGAAATAAATCCGGAGACATAAACTTCGTGCTGTAGCTATCGTCACGTTGACAACTGCGTTTTTAATGAGAAATTGGTCAGAAACTTTTGATTTCTGTGTAAAAGAAGAATCTGTGTTACCACTGAACTCTGCTAATAAATTCTGAGTCAGGTTTCACTATTTCATACGGGGAAGTGACAAAAGTGTCGATTTCTTTAGCTTGGAACTTTTCTATAGCCACACTGGAAACTAAATTGTAATTTTGCATTTAAGATAAATTTTAACTAAGTATTTATAAAAACTTGACAATTTTGTTTTTATCCAGGACACGGAAGTATTACTTTCGTAGTTAACAAGAACCTTGTATACAGAACTCGAGCACCAGAAAAAAATTTCAAGTAAGAACATGAAAAAAATGTTTAAAAAATTCTGTCAAAAAATTTTGACATTTGACATTTTTTATGTCTATTTAATGATACTGATAATCTTGTATATGTTTTTTTACAATTATTTAGGAGATATAAAAATTTTGCTAATAAAAGCCACAAATAACATAAAACAGAGTTACAATTTAGGATACAGCTTTCTTGTTTCCTCTTCTAATAGCCTGTAGCAAAAAAACTTGGAATATTATTTTTACAACAGAAATAAACAGTCAAAATGCAAAATTTAATCTCTCACAGCCTCGAAAATTTTGTAGTTTTTGTTGTTCGTGTTATCTTACCTTATACGACATTTTTCTCTGAGACGCACCCTGTATTCAACTTGCTAATTTTAAGTAAAAACCAAGTTGTTTTTTTTTTTCATAGTTTGGAAGATATTTGTTTTCTTGGTACAGACATATGCAATAGTTCTAATTTTACTAAATATTATTGTTAAAAAAATAATAATAAAGTTGAAAAAAATAAATAAAATTAAAAAAATCTAGTTGCATGGTGTCTATAAAAAATTGACGTTAGCAATAGTCGTATTAAAATGAAACAAAATAAATTAATCACACTAAATTAGATGTTGTTCTGATTTGTTATAGGTAATTAACATTGTCATTTTTTATTAAAAATTTGAAAAAATATTGGCTATATTTTCTTTCATTTGCTGCTTTTTGATAGTACAATAATGGCACTGTCTTATTTGACATCATGCAACTAAATTTTTTAAATTTTGTTTTTTTTTTAATTGGAATTATTTTAACATTTTTTCCACGTTCCTAGTATTGTACCTTACATGGTATTTTTCTCTGGGGCGCGAGTTTTGGCGCACCTGTATTTCACTGCAGTTGCGGCTGTAAAATCAAAATTACTTAAAGCAGAGAAGAAGAAAATATAAAGTGACAGAAAGGCGATAGCCCCAAAAAAGGTAAAAAAAATAATAAATAATTTGTGTTTAAAAACTTGGGAAATTATTAAAATTATGGTTTTAGGACAAAAACGACTATATTTGTCGTTTTATGATTTTAAGACACAAAAAAATTTGAGTACGAACTTTTTATCTGAAACGTTTAAAATTTTGGGTCTCGTCCACGGGCCTTAAATAGAAACCTAAAATCCAGTCTCTAATATGTTTTAATTGATCATATTTCAAAGTTAAAATGCATCTTTAAAAACAAATTAAAATATTGTAACTAACACAATCAAATAAATGAAATGTTACGATTTCCCGAGAATGTAAAGTTCTAATTTTAACAACGTTGTTTTAAACAATTTATTATTTAGAGATAATAAAAAGTAATAAGAAAAAGTAAACTTACTGATTGCCAAACTCCGAAGTGACGAATAAGAACCCAGTCTTCAAGACACACATGGCGGAAGCGACCGGAACCGTATCAAAATACTTCAACTTGATTTCAGTGACCATATCTTCATCCGTTTCGAGAGTGATTTTGAAGATGTCCCCTTGTTCCGTCTGTGCGAGGAAAAAGAACATCGACTTGGTTTTATGAGTGGCCGAACAGACAAAAATCATGCCTCTTTCCGGGTCATCCAAATCATTCCGTCTCCTTGGAATAGGACATCGAATATCATGTTGATCACCCAAATTCTTATAAGTTAAATAATTTTCAGAACAAATGAGCACTCCTGAGGGTCCATCATCACCTCCTGGAACCGTGACTAAGAAATTCGCGTGTTCTTCCAAAGGCTCCGAATATTTCCGCACCACGTGGTTGACCCCAAGATCCAACTCGTAGAAAGTCAACGTTTGTTGGGTCTTTTGTGCCGCTTCGCCCGTGGGGTCAGAATCGGCCTCCTCGTAGTCGATTTCGAGACACGCAAACATGGGGTTATCATAACCCACATCGACGCCGACCATGTGGTACACAAGAGTGTTGCTTTTGTGGGCTTCGAGGGGCGAGGAAATCGTCAAGCGGGCTTGGACGTCCCTATTTAAAATATAAGCGAGTTTTTGTTTCTCTACAGCCCCGATCATTACAGCCCGGCCTCGAGGATCGGTTGCGAGGTATTGGCCCGGGACGATTCGTCTCACCCCCGATTTACCGAATGTCTCTTGATGGACTTTCTCAAATGTGTTTTTAGATGGGATATATTCGAGAATAACGATTCTGCCAGAGTCGGAGCCAACGATAACGAAGTCTTTAGTGCCTCCGGTAAGGCGGAATGACATTAATGAGCGGACTACTCCGAATATTTCCACGGTTAAAATTGTGTGGACTTTGCCGGTGTTGGGGTCTGGTCGTAATACCTCCAAGCTTTTGCCACGTGATATGACAATTTCTTGCATTTTGGTACCGGAGAAATTGCCATGGATGGCGTGGGTGATGGCCGTAGCTCGTTGTAAGGTAATGTTGTATAAATACATTTTGGAGGTTTATCTAAAAAGAGAAAATGAGGTTATGGTATAACTGTACAAGGGTTTGAGTAAATGTGGGGCACTAAAACCAGGCTTTAGCTTTAAAAACTGCTTGAGCCAACGATGCGATGTGCCCCATAATATAGCACCCTTTACGACCTATACGTATACAATACATAGGTATAGGAGATACCAAGTGCATTTTTTTAAATTAATTTTTTTTAAGTATTTTTTTTTCAAATTACCCAAAAATATGTACTTTTAATTATTTATAAAGCTTCAGATGACATAAATTAATTACCTTGATCGTGGATGAGCTTCTTTTCTTCTGATTTTTCAAGAAATTTATTTTTCAACGATTTATTTACGTTTACGCGTGGGGTTCACATTGTGGCGTGGGTACTTGATTTGTTTGGGTGATTTTCCCCATAGCTCAATTACTTAAAACACAAATAATACTGCGCCTTTTGAGCTTTTTAATACATTATTTCATTAAAAAATGTATAAAACTATAAATGGCGACTGAACCGGCAAAACAACACCATGAAAAAGAGATGTGAGGATGGCACGTTACGTTACTGCGCTTGCGCTGTGCTATGCGTCTTGTGTTACGGTAACGAAAGCGCAAGATTTTTAAACCAATCAAACTATTTGGAGGGAATTTGAAAAAAATTATTGCTTTAACGAAACATTGGTACGTTATGTGGATTTAAGATAAATTGTCCCACTATAAATATAGAAGAAACCAAAGGAAACTTGAAAAAAATCAGGAAGGTCTTCCGTCACCTTAAGAAGTGAAGCCTGTATTTTATATTTTAATTGTTTATTTTTTACCGTATTGTATTTAGTACTAAAATAAATAAATATAAAAATTTTAATAATAACAATGCATACTTAGAGAAAATACGCTTAATCGATTGATGACTAATTTATCTGTGAAGGAGCAAAAATAGGCAACATATTATACATTTAATAAATTATTTTGTGTAAAGTATTAACTATTCTAAATTGAATAATCATAGCGTTGCTTGACTATCAGAAAAAAAAATTAAATTCTAAAGTCAAATGTATAATAATGGGAACAACAGCAAAATATTAACAAATTGTTGTATTATTGGTTGCCTAGTTATGAAATAAGGATGGAACAGATAAAATAATGGAACAAATAAAAATAAATGTATACGTATTATACTAGACAATAAAAATCTCAGTAGTTTTTTAAGCAAAAATAAAAAAAACACTTAAAGTAAACAAAGAATCAAGAAAAAGATAAAAAAAACTTAAGTAAAGAATATATCAAAGTTCTTCTCGTTTCGTGATTTGTAAAATAAACAATAAAAAAGTACCTAATGTTTCCAAAAAGGAAGTTATTCCATATTTTCAGTGGGTACTCTTATTATTTTACCTCCAATAAAAAATAGATAAAATGTAATACACTCTTGTTAGATTTTAAAGAAAAATGTAACGAAATTAAAATTAATGAATCTAAAATCGCAATAAAAAATTATGGCTTGTCTGTGTTGTTAGTAATATAGGCAAAGAGTTCAAAATAATGAAAAAAAAAACTCAACTGTTAAAAAACTAAATCGAAATTTTAAAATAAACAGTAATATGCAGAAAAAATAAGATAAAGACAAAATGCGCTTCTAGCGAAAATAACAAGGAAATGTGTATTTTTTATCTAAGGAAAAAGTATACAACGCAAAATTAAACACAAAACGTTAGATTTTTAATATTGTCTCGATTATTGTTTTCATTCAAAAAATAATTTTCTTTTAAGTCAATGCTCAAGCTTAAAATCGTGGTTTTTAAATAAAAAAATACGTTTTTATTACAAGTTTTATGAAATATCTAATTTCAAGAAAGAATACGCAATTTGTAAGATTTTTTTCTGTAAATATGTCATCACCTTGTACCTAGTTATTACTTATATTTTGTGTTGAGCAAATTTTGCAGAAAAAAATTTAAAGAAATCAACAGTTAATGAATTCGAAAATACTTTTTTGCTTCTATTTCTTCTAATACTTGTAATGGAATCACTAATCCTCTTACTGTAGAATTATTACAATTATTTAAGACACGCTATACCTTAATTTTTTTCGGTTCTTATAATTTAAGAGAAAAAAGCAAATCTTATTCTCTCAAAATACAGTGTTCCAAAACGAAATTAAAATTAGTGAAGATACGAGTAAAATCCCAATAAAAATTATGTTGTTAGTAATACCTACAGGCAAGGAGTTAAAAATGATGGAAAAAAACTCTCAACTGTTAAAAAACTAAATCGAAAATTAAAAATAAACAGTAATATGAAGGGAAAATAAGATCAAGACAAAAATGCGCTTCTACTGAAAATATCAAGGAAATATATATTTTTTTATCTAAGGAAAAAGTATACAACGCAAAATTAAACACAAGAAGTTAGATTTTATATTGTCTCGATTATTATTTTTCATTCAAAAAAATATTTTCTTTTAAGTCAATGCTCAAGCTTAAAATCGTGGTTTTTAAATAAAAAATACGTTATTATACCATTTTAGGTGCAAGTTTTATAAAATATCTAATTTCAAAAATTCGCAATTTATAAGATTTTTTTCTGTAAATATGTCATCACTCACCATGGGCGTCGTTTGACGCCCCCCCTGGAAGTTAGCCTAAGACATTTTTTTGAAATAAGTTTTATTCCGTCAGCGGTAAACTATTTTTTTTTCAATTTTGTTGTGAAAAGTAACCATTGTGATATGTCATTTTAGTTGTCAAATGTATTTAATTTTATCACTAGTTATAAAATATGACATTATTTTATCACTGGTGTTAAAAAGTGTGACATAAAGAAAACAAATAACACTATTTTCATAGCAACACCACGACCTAGTATGATTTTGGAAAATTATTGAAATCACAGATTTTAAATTCGAATTTGATGCCGATGCCTATGCTTTTCACAACCAAATTGGAAAAAATCTTGTATAAAACACGATTCAAAATGGCCGTTTTTTGCACACGTCTAGTAAAAAACACGCTCATTTTGCAACTTGTTTTTTTTAACATTTTGTTTTAACTTTTTTATCATAGACGATTTTGGTTGAGAAAAACGAAATTTAAAACTTTTATTTCTTTAATTTTTTTATTTCTATTGATTATTGTTTTTTGAATGTATTTTGAAAAAGTTTTTATTTTATGTTTTGATTTCCAAGTGTTACATTTTTCTTAGTATTTATTAGTTCGTGTTATTTACTGATTTGTGTTATTTTTTGCTTAACTTTTAAAATGTTTATATTATTTTAGCTGTTACACTTTTATACTCCAATTTATAGTTTTAGAGATTCCTGTCTTATGGTTTCATTTATAATTTCCGTTAGAAAAAATATGGTTTTATGTTTCTATTTTGTATAACATGTTTTTGTGTTTGTAATAAAATATGTACTTTTAAACTGCGACGAGGTTGCCCCTTTCTAAAAAAAATTGTAACGACGCCTATGTCACTCACCTTATAGTTACTTATTTTTTTGTGTTGAGCAATTTTGTAGACAAAAATTCAAAAAAATCAACAGTTAATGAATTCGAAAATACTTTTTTGCTTCTATTTCTTCTAATACTCGTAGTAATGGAATCACTTGTAGAATTATTTAAGACACGCTGTAGCTTCATTTTTTTCTGTTCTTATAATTTAAGAGAAAAAATCGAATCTTCATTCTCTCAAAATACAGAGTATTCCAAAACGTCAAATCAACTGTACCCAAACACAAACAAAGAAAAATAAGAAAATACAAAAAGTGTAACGAAATTAAAATTATTGAAGCTAAAAAAAAATGATGAAAAAAAAATTCTCAACTGTTAAGAAACTAAATCGAATATTAAAAATAAACAGTAATATGCTAAAAAGCAAATAAATTCGCAACAATAATAAAAAATATCATGTGATTCTACCGAAAATGTATTTTTCCAAACTAACGCAAAATTAAACACAAACATTGTTTTCATTCAAAAAATAAAAAATAATTTCTTTAATAAAGTATTTATTGTTACTGTGTTTAGGTTTATTTAGAACATTGTTTACAGTAGAAATAGAGGTAAGAATTTTCCAATACTGATATAGGCCGATGTCTCTAGTGGGTACAACACCTACGAAAACTTTTACGAACTTATAGTACTAATATATTCAAGGCGCAATTCCCTCATTTCGGTGCAATTTTCCGTATTTATCAAAAGAGGAACACTATCGGAAGACCCCCTCGAATTTTCTTTATCCTGTTGCTGTTCCTGATGCAAAACAACATTATCAATGGAACGCGGAACATGCATAATATTTGGAAGAAAAGCTTCGGCCTTAATGAAGATGTACCAATTCTGCAAAATCCAGAAGAGTAAAGAAAAATTCATCTAAACTTGCATTGTACCAACCAATAAACATGAAGTGACCGAATATACAATCGACATACTATTATTTTCGCTGTTACTCTCAAGAGCTAGGACTACAATGAACCACACTATATCATAACCGGTTTGAACCACACACATCAGTTTCAAGCAAGTTTTCGATTCCCTCAAACTGACCACTTCTTCATCACATTCCTGTTCTTTTAAAGCGTTTAATGACTCGGCTGAACTACTAAACTCTAATTTGGACAACTCTATGTTTATTTTTCTTATACCATTGAGCGAATAGATCGTTGTTACAACGATTAGGAGAGATATTGGAAGCATGTAGTTTATTATCATTCCTTTTTGAACCGACATGAAACAGAATCGTTTCGTTTCAAGACTGTTCGGCGACACTGTGTACGAAATCTAAAAACGGAAAAATTATCATAACACAGGGCGATAAAAAAAGTCATGACGTGACGATTTGACAAATAGTGAGACTAATCAAATGCACTAAAATATTTTCAAAAAGTCCACAAACTTTGAACAAAATATTTTTTTTTTCTAATTTAAATGAATTTAAAATACTTTAACTTTAAAAAATCATTACTCAATAACTGTTAGGCCAATTTTCTTCAAATAAAAACCATTCTAAAGGGATGGACTTGCCCTTTAGAATGATATACAATTTGAAATTTAATACTTGCGGACTTTTCTTCGAATAGTGTTCGAAGAAGTCGAAGTAAATCAAAATAATCTAAGAAAAACCCTACGAGTCATTTTTTTTTTTCATCATCACCATCGTGTATCTCTTTATTAGTTGAGATCCAAATTTTTTAAAGAATATACCGAGTAGTTTTCAAGATATGATTTTTTGAAGTTACGGTTTGCTAATCAAGCATATAGGAAAAATGTATGATAATCTTACTTTAAATTGCATTTTTCTAAAAGTATTTGTTTTAAGACTCTTCTTTTGCTTAAAAATGGTCAATTGCATCTTCTTTTTTCTAATTAGAATAAACAAAAACTGTTTGTTAACTTAAAACAAACAAAGCAAATAAAGAGTTTTTTTTGTTCTAAAAATGACCACTGATCATTGAGCAAAGAGTTTTTTCAAGTGTAATTCAGAAACCATCACATGTAATTCAGAATAGTCAATTTAGTTTCAGAAAGAGTAAATTGTAATTTAAATTAGTCAATTGTCTTTTAGAAAGTGTTAATTGTAATTCAGAAGAGTAAAATGAGTTTCAGAAACCATGAGATGTAATTCAGATTAGTTAATTTAATTTCAGAAAGCATAAATTGGAATTCAGATTAGTCAATTGTATTGCAGAAAGTAATACTTGTAATTCAGAAACCATTACATGTAATTCAGAACAGTAAACAAATTCAATTTCATGTTACATGTAATCCAGAAAATATCAATTGTAATTCAGATGAGTAACTTACTGTTATCTCAAAATGAAGTTTACATCAACACGTGTTATTTTATTTTCAGAATTAAAGAATTACATAAACTTGCCATTTTGCAAAATAAATAAGATATTTTATTTTCAAAGAAATTTTGGTAATGTAATTTTTAAATGAAAATAACGAATTCTGAATTACAATTGACAAATTCTCAATTACAAATGACAAACTCTGAATTATAACTAACAATTTCTGAAATACAATTGACTAATCTAAATTTCAATTTACGCTTTCTGAAGTTAAATTAATTAATCTAAATTACAGCTGATGGTTTCTGAAATTCAGTTTACGGTTCTGAATTACATTTAATTATTATATCTTACGCTTTCTGAATTACACTTGAAAAACCACATGTAATTCAGATTAGTCAATTTAGTTTCAGAAAGAAATTGTAATTTAGATTAGTCAATTGTCTTTCAGAAAGTGTTAATTGTAATTCAGAAGAGTAAAATGAGTTTCAGAAACCATGAGATGTAATTCAGATTAGTTAATTTAATTTCAGAAAGAATAAACTGGAACTCAGATTAGTCAATTGTATTTCATAAAGTAATACTTGTAATTCAGAAACCATTACATGTAATTCAGAACAGTAAATAAATTCAATTTCATGTTACATGTAATCCAGAAAAATATCAAATATAATTCAGATGAGTAACTTACTGTTATCTCAAAATGAAGTTTACACATAAACACGAATTATTTTATTTTCAGAAATAAAGAATTACATAAACTTGGTATTTTACAAAATAAATAAGATATTTTATTTTCAAAGAAATTTTGGTAATGTAATTTTAGAATGAAAATAACGAATTCTGAATTACAATTGTCGAATTCTCAATTACAAATGACAAACTATGAATTATAACTAACACTTTCTGAAATACAATTGACTAATCTGAATTTCAATTTACGCTTTCTGAAGTTAAATTAATTAATCTGAATTACATCTGATGGTTTCTGAAATTCAGTTTACGGTTCTGAATTACAATTAATATTTTCTGAAATACAATTGACTAATGTAAATTACAATTAAAGTTTTCTGAAATGTATCTTACGCTTTCTGAATTACACTTGAAAAAGGTGTAGATCCTCTTTGCTCAATGATCATTTTTAGAACAAAAAACTCTCTATTTGCTTTGTTTGTTTTAAGTAAACAAACAGTTTTTGTTTATTCTAAATAGAACAAAGAAAGTGCAATTGACCATTTTTAAGCAAAAAAGTCTTAAAACAAATACTTTTATAAAAATGCAATTTTAAGTAAGATTAACATGCATTTCTCCTATATGGCGCAATGCTTGATTAATAAACCTTAACTTCAAAAAATCATATCTTAAAAACTACTCGGTATATTATTTTAAAAATTTGGTTTTCAACTAATAAAGGGATGCTCTACACGATGGTGATGATGAAAAAAAATACTCGGAGGGTTTTTCTTAGATTATTTCGATTTACTTCAAACTTCTTCAAACACTGTTCGAAGAAGAAAAAAAAAAAAAGAAGAAAGTCCGCAAATATTAAATTCAAATAATCTTTATTTGAAGAAAATCGGCCTAATTGTTATTGAGTAATGATTTTTTAAAGTTAAAGTATTTTAAATTCATTTAAACTAGAAAAAAAAATTTAGTAATTGAACTTTTGAATTTTTTTAGTGCATTTGATTTATCTCACAAAACAAAATAATATATAATTCGTCAAGGTGTGATAATTAATACTCACGAGACTAAAAACAAGTGGTGTCCCATAACCCACCGAAAGAAAATACTTATTTTTTGGGACACCACTACTCGAAAATCGCTTGTAGATGTAGTAACAATACAAGAACATCCAAAAGGCTGTAAGTAAGTGTAAGTAATGCAAGAAAAAGGCTACCAACAAGCACTTAAGTGAGTTTTTCGCCTGCAAAAAAAAATATATATTTCTCAAATTGTGGAAAACCAACACCCTCACATAAACTCCCAACATGAAGAGCAAATTGGAGAGGGAAAACGAGCACATTGTGTGCAAAAACAAGCTTTTCGTTTCCTTTTTCCTAAGAGTTTTTTTGAGTAGAACGAAACAAATTGTTAAAAGTTGAGCTGCGCAACTGATGACTGAGCCCACGATGATGACTTGGGGTCCATAACTGTTATTTTTACTGTTATGTGAGCCATAATAAACGTACATTAAGTTGTCAATAAAATCGTGGTCTTTTAAATCCGTGTCGGAGAGGGAATCATCGGGGAGTTCAACATTGGGGAGCACATCAACAGAATCTAAATTTTCAGGATTTGGTAAAAGAAACTCCGAATTGATGGAATCGTTCGTTTCGTAGTCATAATTCATGTAATAATCGTCGTCGACGGTGCGCTTTAAAGTCATATTTGTCATGCCTGCAATGATTTTTCACAAAAGAAGGAAAGGAATTAACACTTTTTACTTTTTTTACTTACATTCTGCAGTTAACAAACAAAAACTACCCACTAGACATTTCACAATGTTCATAACAAAATTCGGGGAGCAAAAATCGGGAGTTCATCCATGGGGATGCTGCGTTTTGTAAGACAGTCAAGGGGTGGACGTGGGTGTGGAAGGAAAGTGTTTAAAAATTAGAAGGGTTGTTGTATTTCTAGGGTCTAGAGTTGGTCACACCAAACAAAGCTTAAAACACGAATTGGGATTGTTATCAAAACGCAATTGGGGGAATGTGGAAGCGCAAGCGCTTTGTTTCGATCGATATAGCTGTTTGGTTCGTTTAAAAACTTTACACTGTTTTTATAGAAAAAATAATTATAACTGATGGTCATTTTCGTATCTCGCTTAGGAAAAATAAAATACCTACCTCATTTTATATTTTTAAAATCTATGCGTTTAGCTGAGATGTATGAAGGGTGACACGATAGGGTTATTTTCGGTTTGAAAAAAAACACCCCTAAATTTTTTTTTCATGCAATGCAACTTGGTTTATGTCATATAGTAGGGTTTCGAATGAAGAAGAGAATGCCATAATAAAAATCGAGATATTATAAAAAATTTAAGTCAAAATAATTTTTTTTGGTGTCAATTAAATAACTTTGAACAACTTTTAAGGTTAAAATTGCGTAATTTATAAAATTTTCGCCCAACCAAAAACTAAGGGTAAGTTTTACTTTTGATCCTAAATCAAATTATAATGGGCCCAGAGCGCGACCGTAAAAATGGAGCTAAAAAAAATTGGGGTTAACTTGATGTGACCCCTTTTTTAAAATTTTTGTCGAATTTTGGTCTATTTTTGGTTCCCGGACCAGTCTATTGCTAATAACTCCGAAATTATTGGCATCGTTGGAAAGCAAATTTAATTTTCTATCATACAGAGTGTGTCAGAACTTGCGTCCCAGAGAAAAATTTCGAGTAAGATAAGATACCAAGAACAAAATTTTTTTTTATTTCAATTTTCAAAAAATTTTTACATTTATTTTTTGACATTTTTTTATGTTTATTTCGTCGTCTGCGTTGCTTGACAGTAATAAAAAGTCTATCCAATGGCAAAAAATGTCCGCGCTCCAATGGAATCTGTATACTTTGGTTTGAAACCTTGATACATTTTTGTATACAAAAATTTACTTTTGTGTCTTATGGGTTGTACCAGTGTTGCCAGATCAAAAACATAAAATTCGTCACATACAAGTTGAAAGATTCGCCAAATTTTCGTCAAATTACGTTTTGTATGGCTACATCTCGCAAAAAAACGCAGTTTTCAGCTTAAAAATCCGCTTAAACTCTTGAAAAAAGCAAAAATGGCATGGATTTCGGCTTAATTCTGTGATTTTTAGGTTTGTTTTCAACAAAATTTTGCGAAATAATTGCGTTTCTAGCTGAAAAACGTGGTAAATGTTCGAGAGATGCAAAAATATTATAATTTTAGAGTTAATTTCTTAGTTTGTTTTAGGAAAATCTTGTGAAAAGTACAAAAATGCGATTACAAGCATTTTCAACCAAATTTTGTGGTTTTGCAGTTTATTTTTGTCTTAATTTTGCTCAAAAACCAGTTAAATCAATCAAAATAACATCAATATCAATTGTTTTTGTGAGTTTTAAGCGTGTTTGGCCAAGATTTTGCAAAATAAATGAGCCTCTGGTTCAAAACAAAGTAAGTCGAGTGGAACAAGCTAAAAATTATATCATTTTCAATTTGATTTTGTATTTTTTTTGCCCGCTTTAAAAAAATTTTTTTCGAATTTCCTTAGTTTTTACCTCAAAAACGTACTTAAACACTTGACAAAGACAAAAATAACGTCGTTATCGATCGAATTTGTTGAATTTTTGGATTGTTTTTAGCGAAATAATGTGTTTCTAGCTGAAAGAGTATTCGAAAAAGACAAAAATTAATTGTCATTTTCGATCCTGGAAAATTTTGTAAAAAAACAAATAGAACGATTTTAACCAATTTGGTTTTTGACTTTTTTGAAAAAATTTGACGAAATAATCAAGTTTCTGGTTGAAAACGTAGAAAATGCTCGAATTTTTTTTTCATTCTCAAAAAATCACATTAAAATTTTTACCAAATCACCAGACTAACATGATGAATAGATGCGTAATTGTTTACTTTTGATTGTAAGTTTTTCTAAGAACTAGACCAAAAACATTAAAAATTATAACATTTTATAAGCAAATATAATTTTATTTATTAAAAAAAAGATCTACATTTGGTTTAGTTATTTTTAGTCTTTACAAATTTACAAGAATATTAAAATTACAATAACTCTTTATTATTTCTTCAATACTTCGAATAAAAAAACACAAGTATTAATTTTATTCTTTATTAATTATTTCTCTATTAAACTCTCAAAATTTAAACTATCATAACTTCAAAATTTTTTTTACATTTTTTCCATGTTCCTGGTATCTTACTGTGGCGCACTCTGTATACAAAAAAAGGTCAGTGTTCTGTATGCAAAGTTTCAAATTTGACTCGCAAGATTTCGTACACACAGACAACTTTGTAAGTTAAGTAAAAGCTTATAAAAAGGAAAATTTAAGGGTAGACAATAAACCATCCTTGAGGGGAAATGCTTCTTTATTTTTCATTGTTTACATGTCAGGTTTTATACTTGCAACAGTAATTCCTAAATTAAGACATCCTTCTTGAAAGAACTTTAAACAGCATTGTAAACCCCCTATTTTATAAAAGAATTTGGCAAAGAATATCGAAAAAATAATAAACTGAAACACTTCTATACATAATATTAATGTAAAAATAATACAATACGTTTCGTTAAAATATGACAGCTTCTTTTATCAAAAATAAAATAACCACAATAAGAACTGCTTAAAATTCTTTTCGAAACTATATTACGTAAAATATTACCGCAAAAACTATCGAGTGAAACAACTACGAATAAAGTAAATGTTGTTGTTTTTTCGTTTTTTATTTATGTATAAACTATTTACAGACACATTCACGCTAACCACACATACACAGAAGCTAAAATACGAACATTGCACGTTTGCGATAATATTTTACCATCACTGATTTTCAACTATTTATTTATACGTACGTGATCGAGAGTGGTTGTAGATACGTGACTCGACCTAAAAATAAACTAACATTCCCAGTTATCCTTCTCCTTTTCAATTTATTCCAACACAAAAACAATGCAACTCTTACGTTTTATATACAAGGATCAGGTACAAACAGCTTCCTTGGATGTGTGTGAGGGGGCGCTTTGGGAACCGTTATGACCTTCCTCCGTTAGGCTAATATTACTGTTTGAATCCTCGTTGCAATTCAAACTAGTCGAATTATTCGAACTATCGTCGTACTAAAAACCCAAAATTATTTTCAGGATTTCAGGATCAATCCACCCCCACCGTCGAATGCATTTCCTCCGATAACCGCATTTTTTTATTGGGATTCTCGTCGCTGTTTCCAGGATCCGAGAGACGCTTTTTGCTCTCCGTTCCGTTAGTTTTAACACTCGTTTTGCGCTCGCGTTTTAATAAACTCGGCGAGAGGTATTGATACAATTGTTTACGTTTCACGTGACGGGCTTCCAATTTCATGCCCTCTTTCAGCATACTGATATTTAAAGCGTGATTTTGGACTGTTTCAGTGAATTGTTGAATGTCGTAGGTGAGATTCACGTTTAAATTCTCCGATTTTGCAAATTCCAAACCTATAAACCACATTGAGCATTGGGTGTTGGGCTCGCGTTGCGACTCTAAAAGACTGAAACTTTCCGGGTTTATGTGGGCCAATGTTATGTGCTGGTTCCTTTCCAATGTTCCTACAAAAAAAAATTATCTATTTGTGGTATCACACAAAAAAATTTAAACTTGCCTATGAGCAAGCGAAATTTGCTTTCCACTAAACCACACCATTCTAGATGATCTTCAGGCGATTCAGCGCTAACTAATAAAACAATAAAATGTTTATATTTCATGAAAAATAACGGTGGTTCAAAAAGTTTATCCCATGTTTGTTTGCTTAGCATTATATCATCGGTGAGTTGCAGACCCAATTTGAACTCTTCTATTATTATTTGTCGTGTCGATCCTGATACATTAAATGTGGAGTTTTGTTGGGGGTAGGCTGGGGTTATGATTGGCATCAAATGATATCTGTCTTGAATGTTTACCTAATCAAACAAAAACAACTGTAAAAATTCTTGAAAAAAGCGAAAATTTCGACTTAATTCTGCGATTTTTCGGTTTGTTTTCAACAAAATTTTGCGAAATAATTGCGTTTCTAGCTGAAAAACGTGCTAAAATACTCGAGAGATGCAATTTTAGACTTAATTTCTTAATTTTTTAGTTGTTTTAGCGAAATCTAGTGAAAAGTACAAAAATGCGCTTAAAAGTATTTTCGGCCAAATTTTGTGGTTTTGCAGTTTCTTTTTACCTTTTTTTGCTCAAAAACCATTTAAATCGTGTGAAATAAACAAAATAACATCAATATCAATCGTTTTTGTGATTTTTAAGCGTGTTTGGACAAAATTTTGTAAAATAAACGAGCCTCTGGTTCAAAAATGAAGTAAGTCGAGCGGAACAAGTTAACAATTATATCAATTTAAATTTGATTTCATTTTTTTTGCCTGCTTCAATAATTCTTTTTTCGAATTTCCTTTGTTTTTATCTCAAAAACGTACATAAACACTTGACAAAGGCAAAAATAACGTCGTTTTCGATCAAATTTGTTGAATTTTTGGATTGTTTTTAGCGAAATAATGTGTTTCTAGCTGAAAAAGTATTCGAAAAATTTTGTGGTATTGACTTTTTTGAAAAAACTTAATAATCAAGTTTTTGGTTGAAAACGCGAAAAATGCTCGAAAAATATTTTTTTTCATTCTCAAAAAATCACCACATTAAAATTTCTACAAAAGTTTTTACCAAATCACCAGACTAACATGAAGAATAAATGCGTAATTGTTTACTTTTGATTGTAATTTTTTCTAAGAACTAGACCAAAAACACCAAAAATTATAACATTTTATAAGCAAATATAATTTTATTTTTAAAAAAAATAAAGATTTACATTTGGCATCAAATGAAATCTGTCTTGAATGTTTACCTAATCAAACAAAACAAAAACAATTGTAAAAACTCTTGAAGAAAGCAAAAATGGCAGCATTTCGACTTAATTCTGTGATTTTTCGGTTTGTTCTCAACAAAATTTTGCGAAATAATTGCATTTCTAGCTGAAAAACGTGCTAAAATGCTCGAGAGATGCAAAAACAATATAATTTTAGACTTAATTTTTTAGTTTGTTTTAGCGAAATCTAGTGTAAAGTACAAAAATACGCTTAAAAGCATTTTCTGCCAAATTTTGTTGTTTTGCAGTTTATTTTTATCTTTTTTTTTGCTCAAAAACCATTTAAATCGTGTGAAATAAACAAAATAACATCAATATCAATCGTTTTTGTGATTTTTAAGCGTGTTTGGACAAGATTTTGCAAAATAAACGAGCCTCTGGTTCAAAAACGAAGTAAGTCGACCGGAACAAGCTAACAATTATATCAATTTGAATTTGATTTTATATTTTTTTTGCCTGCTTCAATATTTTTTTTTCGAATTTCCTTTGTTTTTATCTCAAAAACGTACATAAACACTTGACAAAGGCAAAAATAACGTCGTTTTCGATCGAATTTGTTGAATTTTTGGATTGTTTTTAGCGAAATAATGTGTTTCTAGCTGAAAAGACAAAAATAAATTGGCATTTTTGATCCTGGAAAATTTTGTGTTTTTGACTTTTTTGAAAAAATTGGCGAAATAATCAAGTTTCTGGTTGAAAACGCGGACAATCCTCGAAAAACATTTTTTTTTCATTCTCAAAAAATCGCCACATTAAAATTTTTACAAAAGTTTTTACCAAATCACCAGACTAACATGAAGAATAAATGCGTAATTGTTTACTTTTGATTGTAATTTTTTCTAAGAACTAGACCAAAAACACCAAAAATTATAACATTTTATAAGCAAATATAACTTTATTTATTAAAAAAAAATAAAGATTTACATTTGGCATCAAATGATATCTGTCTTGAATGTTTACCTAATCAAACAAAACAAAAAAAATTGTAAAAACAATCCAAGACTAGACGAGAATTTTGATATTTTTTTACTCAGGACGAAAGCGTAATGTAAAAAATATACACTACTACAAACAATTAAAAAAAAATCCTAAATTTTTTCGTGAATCTTGAAGCACGATTCAAGTTTAAAAAAACGAGTGGCGTAATTGTAATTTGTCCTTTTTAAACATTTTTTTTTACTTTATTCGATTTAGGGATTGTCATAGGAATTTTTCATAAGAATCCAATTTTTTTTTTATTTTTTGGTCAGAATCGGACATAGTGCTTATGCTTCTAGCATATTTTTAACTTTATTACTCAATATCTCAAAAACTATGCATCGTAGAGTTTTTTAACCTGTTACATCGTGTTCAGTGTCTAGAAAACGATATTTCAAGTGTTTTTACAACTTAAAGTAAATTGACTTTTTACGATTTTACTACCTTCAAAAACTCAAAAAATTCCAAAAATTTTAAACTTGGTTCAGTAACGTTTTATGCACTTTTTTGAGTCTTTAAGACCTCTAGAGATGTAAAAAGATTACATGAATGATTTTACTTAATTTTTTTTTATTTTTGTAGAGATTTTGGTAAATTTTTGGCACCCGGAGCGGTCTATTGTCAATAACTCCGGACTTATTGGTGATAACTTCTTATGTTTGGTACCGTTAAAAAGAAAATTTAATTTTTTATCATATACAAAGAAGATCAGTGTTATACGATAAATAGTTATCGAGAAAATTTCAGATAAACTTAAAAATTTTAAAAATATAAATTCGACTATAACTTGAAAACTATTACGAATTTTGCAGTTTTCTTGGCGCCAAAACACAGGTTTACGTCAAAATATTATATCATTGAGATACAGTTTTGCCGCAATTTAGAAAATAAAAAAAGAAAATTTTCTTTACACCCTCCCCTTAAAAACTAGTTTTTTTGATTTTTTCAAAAATGAAGAAAACTGTTTTCCAGTTTCTACGTTTTAAACCAGAAACTTGATTATTTCGTCAATTTTCCAAAAACCAAATTGGTTAAAATACTTCAGATTGGTTTTTTTACAAGATTTTCGAATACTTTTTCAGCTAGAAACAATTATTTCGCAAATTTGTCTAAAAACAATCGAAAAATTCAATAAATTCGACTAAAAACGGAGTTATTTTTGCCTTTTTTAAGTGTTTAAGCACGTTTTTGAGATAAAAGCAAAGAGAATTCTAAAAATTTTGTTGAAGCAAGCAAAATAATTACAAAATTAAGTCGAAATTGATATAACTTTTAGCTTGTTCCGCTCGACTTACTTCGTTTTGGAACCAGAGGCTCTTTTATTTTGCCAAATCTTGTCGAAAAACAATTGATATTAATGTTATTTTGTTTATTTCACAAGATTTAACTGCTTTTTGAGCAAAATTAAGACAAAAATAAACTGCGAAACACAAAATTTGTCCGAAAATGCTTTTAAGCGCACTTTTGCACTTTTCACTAGATTTCGCTAAAACAAACTAAAAAATTAAGAAATTAAGTCTAGAATTATATTATTTTTGCATTTCTCGAACATTTTAGCAAGTTTTTTCAGCTGTAAACGCAATTGTTTTGTAAAATTTTGTTGAAAACAAACCGAAAATCACAGAATTAAGCCGAAATGCCATTTTTGGTTTTTTCAAAAGTTTAAGTGGATTTTTAAGCTGAAAGTTGCGTTTTTTTCGCGAGATATAGCCATACAAATCGTAATTTGGTGAACATTTGGCAAATTTTTCTTGGATCTGGTGAATTTAATGTTTTTTATCTGATACATCTAGCCTTAGTCTTAACTTTATTACTCAATATCTCAAAAACTATGCATCGTAGAGTATTCTAACTAGTTGAATCGTGTTCAGCGAGTAATTTTACGTCTAGAAAACCATACTTCAAGCGTTTTTGCGACAAAAATTTTTCACGAAACAATTACGAAAACTCAAAAAAATCGTTCTTTTAACTTGACCCTATAACGTTTTATATACATTTCTGAGTCTTTTACACGTTTTTGCACTTTTGTAAGTCTCTTGAATCCCTGGGAATGCATTTGGTTTAATTTTAAAGTTTTTAATTTATTTTGATTTTTGTCAAAATTTTCGGATATCAGCTAATAAGTTTGAAATTATTCTCGATAACTGTCTTATTTTTAGTACCGTTGGAAAGCATTTTTAATTTCCTATCTTATAAAAGAAAAATCATAGTTCTGCGATGGTTATTGAGAAAATCTCTGGTAAAAACAAAAATAGCAAAAATATTAATTAATAACTTCTAAACTATCAAGAATTTTGCGGTTTTTCCGATACCAATCGAGTCCCCGAAACATTTTCCATAAGTATAATATAGTACAAAACCTAAACTTTAGCTGGAATTAATAAATTTAAGGATTGTTGTGAAGTTTGGTAATATTTTAAATAATATTAGTCTCCCCATCAATATTTGTGAATGCGCAACAAAAAAAGTTACTTTTTTTCTCTTTTTTTTTAAATCAAAGTTGAGGATAAAAAAATTTTCAAAAAAACGTAGGAGGTTTATTCCAATTTTTGAAACTCACTTTCAAAAATCACCAAAAAATTTATTAGTTGCCTAAATTTCCTGTTTTTTGCCTAATATCTACCGACTCCTGATTCTCACCCTTGGATCCCAGACGGAGAAGCCCAGATTGACATTCGAAGGCTGCTTGAGTAATACTGGCTGCGGCCATTTCCACTGAGAAAAAACAAGAAAAAATTTATGAACTAGAGTCGCTGGAGCTGCATTTGGGTACAATTGACACGTTCGTGCAACTAGCATCGCCCATGAAACACCACCCAAGTACCCCAAAGCGTTACTATAAATCCCATGTCCTGTAAAACAACAGTAGTAACACGAAAACTGAAACAGGGGTCATACTTTTGGCCCATAATTTAATTGCTCTAAGTGCTAATCTAAAATTATCTATATTGGGGACGAGACGGAGAATCTCGTCTGTTACTCTGCAACCATTCAAACTTCGAACACATTTCTGGTCCAAGTTTTTCAAAAGAAGGTCATCGCGGAGATCCATCGAATCTGGGATTTCCTTAAGCATTAATCTAGCAAACAACATGTCTATTTCTATGCCATCAAAATTCATTTTTATGACTGGAACAAAGGCTTCTTCCACGGCCTGAAATTCAAATTCACGGATTAATTCTCAAATAAGGTGAAACAATACCCGTAAATCAGTGACTTCGGGGTGTTTTTTAAGTAATTCATAAAAGGAACCAAAGAAATCGTTTCGGTAAATATGTCTCGGGGCTACACAAAGTGCATCAATGTCAGCTCCCCTATTATGCACCTGAAACACTTGATTATTTCTCATTTTCGTCACAATTTAGCCACTTTACCCCTAATCTGTAACTGCCAAACGTGTATATTTTCCCTCCCACATTTTCAGCCACGGATTCTGGCATGTTTTTCGATATTGAAACATCTTTGATCCACTGTTTCACTAGAGAGTACAATTTACCTAAAATAACCATTCGATGATTCAACTCTTGCTCAGTTTCAAAAACATCGAATGGTTTTAGTGCTTCTTCCAATTCCTGGGTCTTTAAAAGATCAGATGGTTTAGGGGGAGCTGTGGATATAGCTGAGGTCATACCCAGAGTAGGTATTTTAGTGTCATTTTTTTGTGTAACATTTTCTTTATTATTTTGTGTACCATTATTAACAGGTTGAGATGACCACATTCTTACGTTATACCTGCAATTTCAAGAAACCATAATGTTAACAACGCAAAACTTGAACAACAACGTGAGTTGAATCATTTCGAGATAATCTACAAACCAAAACAAAAACTTAGCCTTGCTCAAAAATGTTGCAAATTGTGAAAACATACTTACTAAATCTTAAATAGGAACACTAACACTAAATTAGTTGCAAATTATAGTGTTTGGGTTTAAATCGGTGAAAAAAACATTATAAAAATAATGATAACGTGTTTCTACACTATCACACTGACACTCATCACAAATTTTGCACAAAATGACTGACAGTTGTAGTAACAAACAATACCAACGTAACGCGCGCGCAATACGAAAATCCCTGAATTGATTTGAAAATTTGCAACAAAACGCTTTCTTTTAAATCAGTAACTTCTTAAAAAATAAAAACAATTATTGTACTGTGTAATGTATTACAACATCGACAACTTCTGACCTAAACCGTGTTAAAAAATCTATTTATAAATAAAAAAATTTAATTAAAAATTGCAAATTTTTTCTGACTTAAAATCAGGTAATAACAAATAATAATTTTTACTAAGCTCTAAGTATTTTATAATTTTAGTCCCAAGATTATTTTGTCTTTCTCACAACCTCCGAACATCTTTAAAATTCAATATATCAAAGTCAGTGACCAAAATATCGAGTTTCAGGGCATTTTCTTAGAAAAGGTAAAGTAGCATTCGCTACGCCCTCAAGGGGGTGTTGAATGACCCCGACAAAGTGATGCTTTGGACCACATGTGTTTTGTTGGACGAAATAGAAAAGAAAAAAATTTGGGGTTTTTCCACTTAGTGTTAAATTTTATATTTTTTAAATTTTGTATATCATTACTTCACGTCTTACCGATAATGAAATCTATTTAATATTTACATTAGAAAAAAAGACTTTATCAGAAGCAAAATTGCATATTAGATACGTCAAAAAATGAGGTCGTCGTCCGCATTTTGCTACCCATTATTATATTTTTATTTTACTTTAGTAAATCTAGCACAAGCGAGATTATTTTGATTCTAAAGTAAAATGTATTTTTAACTGAAACCGAGTGACTGGAAATAATTGCGATTTTTTATATCAGTTTAGTGTCAAATTTAAAATTTTAGTTTAGCAACCTTTTGACTTTCAAATTCAAATGTCAAACTTTTTTTCTGGTATAACAAATTACAAGGATTAGCAATAATTTAGTGTTGCCAATAGATTTTTTCACAAACCAGTAAACAATGTTTCGCTTCACAAAAAAATTACTTAAATTAAATAATGTTATTAAATAAGTTAATAAAAAGAAATGGCCTAGTAGGTTGTCATTTACAAAGACATTTTTTTACTAAACTAAACTAAAAAAAATTCGAAATAAGTTCATTTTTGAGAAACGAACACATTTTTATAGTACTTTATACTGCACTAATTACTAATTAGTTTATGCAAAAAAAACGCTTAGTTTCATACTTTTTGTTTTATTAGGGCCAATCAAATCAAATTATTCAAAACAAATCTCGATAAAGTTGATAAATACTTACAAACAACTGATTTAAATACGAGTGAATGGATGTTTAACAAAATATTTTTAATTTATTAATTGACAAGAAATAATTTAGGTAATTTTGAAAATAACTTTACAGCCAAGGGCAGTATTTTTGTATTCGCATAATGTGTTTAAATATGGGGTATTTTCAATTATCAAAAAAATTGAAAGTGAATAACTGGTTGTATAAAGTTATTTAATTTATGAATCAGTCTGTTAAGTTAATAAATTAATAAATAACTAATCTTTGATTTGATTGACCAAGAAACACCATTTTAATAAACAAAATTTTTACTATTTCATAGAAGAAATTTCAAATTTTAAGCGTTTACATTTACAAATATTTTAATTTTTCTCACGAATTTTATTTACAGCAAAATTCAGATAGTACAATTTTGTCCATTAAATGTGATTAGTAAATATCGTGCAAGGGGCCGCTAATACTCGTATAAATCTGGAATTAGTTGTACCAATTTTTGGAATTTAATCGTAATTGCTTAGAATTATATTTTGGAATTATTAAAATTATTTATAGATTGCATGGAGTTACTATAATTATTATTTTAAATCAATAATTTTTTTTTTGAATTACTGAATTTTTTATAGAATTATTGGAGATATCAGAATTAATTTGAAATTGTAGAAATTAATCTAAAAATAATAGATTAATAAAATTTCTGAAATTGAATTTCGCCGAAATTTTTCTGAAATTACTAACTATTTGAAAATTTTGTTGAATTTCTTAAAACTATTGAAATTAATTAAAAATTAATTAAAATTACCCAAATAATTTAAAAACTACAGTATTACAAAAATTAAGTTAAAGTTACAGGAGTTTATTTAGAATTATAGGAATTAAATTAATCTCAAAACAATGGAATTACGCTGAATTAATAGAATTACTAGAATGAAATTACCGGAATTACTTGTAAATTACAAAATTACGTTAAATATTTTAGAAGTATCGTAATTAATTTGGAATTTTAAAAGTTACTTTTATATTACGAAAATTAAGTTGAAATTATGGCAATTGTGTTAGAAATAAGTCGTAATTACAAAAATTAATTTAAAATTTTATTTTAATTACTTATTGGAATTATTTGTAAATTACTGGGAGTTCTTTTAGATTAGTCAATTTTTGTGGAATTATTGGAACTTTTTTTGTTGTAATTTCAGAAATTAATTTTAAATTATACGAATTGATCAAAAAACAATGCAATTACTAATTACGATGGAATAATAGAATTACAGGAATTGATATACCGGAATTTATTTGTATTTTTTTTTTTTGAAACTACAAGAATTCTTTTTGGAGTTATCAGAAACACTTTATTCTTTAGAAAAATACAATTTTTCTAAACTATCGAAATTAAAGTTAACTGCCCTTCAAAATAAGTACATTAATTAAAATGTTATTTTCTCAACAAAAGTAGTAGCTTTTTAAAGTTTTTTTTTAAACTTTGTTATTTTTATTTCATTTAATTAAAAAAACCATTACATTGAGAAATATATAAAAAAAATACTACTAAAATAAAAGTTTCCAAAAAAATAAACGCAAATTGAGTAGCTCGAAAAAGTTGGGATTGAAGTTATTAAGGATTTCGAAGTTGGGATTATTCTACGTGACTGTCCCACATTTTTTGGGTTAAATTTTGGGAGTAATTACACCAAACCGGTTAAACTTTTAGAGAGTTTTTGGACGGAGTTAAGTGGGAATGCACCCACGGTTATGGTTGGGGAACAACTAGGAGATTTAATTAAAAGTGAACATAAATAAAAATGATATAATTGTATGAACAATATCAGTGTTTAATTATTTTTGAGTAAAGTATTAATGTCAAATACACATATTAGGTAATGTATGTAGATTAAGAGTTTCTAAACCGAGACAAGGACAAGTTAACCGCAATTTGTTTTTTCTAAACTTCGCAAGGTAAGTGTAGCAAGGAATAAACACATTCCAACAAACGAAAGGAAAGTAACATATCACAATATAATAATTTAACAATAGAACAGTAGGACAGTTCAACTCAGATAATCCTGAAATTTTTTTCATAAAACTAAGACGAAAATGCAAGATTTATAGGTGAACAAATAATTAAGCAAAAAAATCACAATAACTGTATCCTATTGCACAAATTCTTTTTTACCTAAAAACACAGTTTAAATTTGCTTTGATACATTATTATCAGAAATAATATTACACAGAATGTCCCCAAAAAAACATTGAAAGATTTTGAGGAGTAATTCCTTAGATCAAAAAAAGTCCGGAAATACTTCCATATACGAAAAAACTGTCTTCGTATGGTTTGCTTTTTGGAATTACTGTTAAGAAAAAACTCGTTTTTCTCATACAAAAATACCATGATAAAAAAATTAGCCAATAAATCCAAATCTGCCAAAAAGAATGTAAAAACTACTTTCAATGCAAAATTAACCCCGGTGCCTCCGGCCCCTAAGTATATTATTAATTTATTCCACATTTTTTAATATCTAATAGATTTAGCGCCAAAAAATCCAGATGCAATTTTTTTTAAATTTATGTGTAACGGTTACTGAAATAATTGAAAAAAAAAACGTCATCTTTAGGAGTCTCTTCCAGGAAGAATTTCCGTACGTAGATTCATAAAAACTTTCTTTCTTATTTTAACCTAAGAAACCACTACCTAAAATTTTTCAACGCTTTTTCTGGACACCCTGTATGGATAACAAGATAACATCAGTATTAACATAATTACAAGTATCATAATATTCACGCTTAAAAGCGTTGTTCTAAACTGAATTAATAATTATTTCTTCGCAAGCAATAAATCTTATTCTTACGAGAAAATTGCACGATAAAATCCAAAATAGTCCGTAAAGTAGTACTTTTCAGGACTTATACACTTTAAAGTGTGCACGTTGTGTTACATAATCTTAAGAAAAAACGTAATAAAGTACCGCAAAAATATTGTACAAACATTTTATTTGTTTATTTTGTTAATTTTAACGTTTTATGCGCATAATTTGTCCTTTTGCATGATCGTAATTCGTTATAAAAAATGAAATTACTATTGTCTTGAAAAAATTCTAACAAATTCTAGCAACGGGTTGAAGGGCGTGATTTTTATTATTTTGCTGCGTTTTCCCTAATAATCAATGTTTCAAAATTGATAAACAATAATTTTAGGTATCAATGAATAAATAGTTCAAAAAAGAAAGAAAAAATGTAGTGTTCTTCTCTATTGTCACAAGTAGGCATTGTTAGTTTTTTTTCTTCTTATGAATTTAAAAATCTAAAACAGGATACATCGATTCGTGCAACCTTACATTTTTTTACACAAGCTAATTCACCAAAAGCTGAGAAAAGTTATAGCTTGCTCTGAAATTCTCTTTATCTCGAAAATATACAACAATTCTCATTAAACGAAAAAAATTACAATTCTCCAATTTTATTATTTAAGACCACTTATTTCCTGAATGTGTTATAAATTACAAGAGCTGGTTTTGTACTAAACTCCCTAAATCTTTTATAGTAAAAGCGAACTCACTTTTGCATATCTCTAAGTCTTGTTTCTTATTTTAGAACAATAATTCTTAAACGAAACTCTTGGTATTTTCTCGTTTATTTACAGTTTTTTCTTTCAACTTTCCCTTTCACCTGGGCGGCATTCTTATCTTGTGCATGCACTTATTTCAACGCTTTAAAAAGTGGGTAAGTTACCGATCTCATAAACGTCTAGCAGTCTTGCAAAGGCAAACATGTATGCATATGAATATTAACTTATTTTTTTAATTTATATAGATTTGTGCATTAAGTAATATTGAAACGATTTTCAATATTTTTTGTCAAAAAGAGAACTGATGTAATTAATGTTCTTTACAAAAAGTACATTTTACTATAGTTTCTTATACAAAAGTAGAATTTGCAATTAAATAGTTTTTATAACAATTATGTGCATATTTAATTTATAACTTTTTAATTATTATGAAAGAATGAGTTTTAAGTGACTTTTATTAAGTAACATTAGAATATTAAACAACCATTTTTGTAAATACAAATTGTTAATAACGTAATAATATACATACAAAACATTTGTTCAACATTACATAGACAATGTCAGTATCAAATAACCACAATTTTTATTCATCATCGGCCTTTGATAACTAATTAGATAATTCCACCTCATTAATGTTTAAATTCACACATTGTAAGTACGCATTTTTGATTAAGAATAAATAAATCATTGTGAAGGATTCTGTCAAGATTTTTTCCTCACATGACCTTTACATAACTGTTAAGTGTAAGCAGTTTATTAAAAAAAGTTCAAGTTTTATTCAGTTGTAAACCGTAAAATTACAATTACACAGAGAAACACAAAAACAAATGATATTTAATTGTAATTTCTACCGGGGAATTCCCCGATTAAAAGGATTTAAAATAAAAATGCATTATCACAATTAAACAAAAAATTTTAAATGTTTAGGATAGGTACAGTCGAACAAAGTGAAAATGAGGCTTCAATAAACCAGGTTGAATCAGGAGCCGGATTACAGAAAGCGAAATAATAATTTAATTCGGAATTAAACTAATTTTGTATTGACAAACGTCAAGTTAAATGAGAATGTAATTTTGTAAATAAAAAATTTAACAAACCATTTTTTGAAGAAAATTATGCATTAATGATGACATACACGAAAAAACAAATCATTATTAATTTAATAATTGTTCTGTTTTTCAAAATAAAATTATTTTA